ATATTAAACCGAATTGTGCTGAAATTTAGTACTGGTTTGCTATGGCGTCAACTGTCGTAGTACGTAGAATGGGTACCGAACACAAAGAAGTACCTGAGACCTTGTCACCGATCTTGCTCCCTTTCCTTGTTCTCGCCAGTTTGCTCTTTCAAGCTTTATTGTCCCATGCCGACGCCAGCGTTAACGAAAACACTCTATACGGATCAGAATTTTGAGGTGTGCGTGCACTGTAAAAGTTAGCAATCTAAATCCAACCTTAGGTGGAGAAGCAGTAGGCTCCTTCCAATTCAGTGAATGCCTCAAGAGGTCCAATTCGATTGAGACATCGACAGCCACCCGTGTATAACTTTGGCCCACAACGAATTCTCTGCTAGTCACATACACACAGATAGATACGACCGCGCATAACCAGGATAGCATAACAGACTTTGCCGTATTACTGCTGGTGCTGCTTCTCGACTAAGTGAAGACATCTAGCTTTTAAAAGCACCCACAAAGTCCATCTAACCAACTCACGGAGCCCACAATTGTGCCCGTCCAAATTGCACGTCTTTCAACTACATCGCGAATGAAATCGTCCATTGCTACGGCGACTGGATTGGGGACGTCCGACCGACGCCGCTACAGCCGCAACGGAAAACCGGATAACTTATCGCCACGACGGGGTCCATCCCCGCGCCCACGAGAATATTAATTTGAATTTACCACCGAACTGTAAAGCCCAGCACGTTCGTCGCCCTCGCGTCAGTCTGTGCCTAGTGCGCCATGACGATGGCCGAAGTGCCGCCGAAAAGGAACGTTGCTGAAAATAGCGAGATCGAGCAGCTTTCCCCTACGTTGTGTTGTTTCGAAGTCACATTACTAAAAGCTAACCGACGGTCGAAGGAGAACCTAACGCTAGCTGCGTACGCATAAGAGAGGAGTCGCTGGCTGAGTCGAGATTTAATACCCCGATTTCAAAAGCCAATACTTGGGAATTTTTATTGACAGCTTCACTGCCTTTGTTGGAAATATGGAAGAAGAAGTATCAGAAAAAGAGGGAAGTTTGGAAGCATAAGGGCTATGAACATTCTTAGCGCAACTAACCGGAAGGCTGGCAGAAGGCGCAGGTCGACCCGTATCGATCAAAGCCCTTAAACTAACATGCTTCTTTGAGTCGAGCGAACGAAGGCCACGAGCTTCCTGATATTTGAGTTAATCAAAGGCTTCCTTTAAGAAGGGAAAGAGAAAAAAAGATTTGATGCTTGCCCTAAATATCTGCAGTGCCTACACAACTAGATACGGTATTCGAAGGGTATATTAATCCCACATGTTATAAAGACAAATACCCTTTTCCGCCAATCTTCAGGTACTTCTTTCAAAAACCTATACTGTGCATGCATACAGACAGAGGCATTCGCAACCGTATCTTAACCTGTGTAATTAGACAGCCAGGTTTAAACAGTATTGCCGCCGAGAGTTACTATAAGGCAAATGGCGCAATTTGTGTATATTAGGAGATTAACAGAAGTTTACAAAGCTGCATCGTCGAAAGGCCTAATCCAGGTGCGACACACTTAGAATCCCTTGACGAACACCCCTTCCATCCTTGGGGGTATTTCTTCTACCAGAATTGCATTGGCACTGGCTGCCGTTTTTGTTCTATACGTGGGCCTGCCTTTTGCTAATTTCCAAGTTCAAGTTTAGCTCTGCCCCACTGGACAGCTAAAGAACTGAATCCATTGTTGTATGCTACGTGTGTTGGAACCAATTTCTACACGTAGCAAGACCATATAATGAGTAGTTTGGAATGCGCACGAGGCTTAATGCAGGGATGAAGCTTGTAGCGATCGCCAGCTACGATAAGCACAATGTAGCAGATGTCGTTGCAGCTGAACCGGTGGAAATGAGTTTACGACGTAGGATTAAGTGAGGTATGGTAAACTGCTTTGCCCCACTGTCGTCTTCAGGGGTTTGTCCATGTTTCGAGCTTACATCCGGTATCGCCGTTAAGCATTCTATCACTCATTCCAGAATGAGCGAGCCATAGCAAATAAGGCACTGAATCCACTTTACAGATCTGTATATTGAATAAATGTTGAAATCCGAGCTGACTTCTATGCGAAATTACGGCTAGTGATACAAATAATATTTTTTTTTAACTATTTTAGCCTACATATGTATCAATATAAGTGAACACATCGGATTTCGGCTTAACAAAAAAAAGATATATATATATATATATATATATATATATATATATATACAGTGTTTGCTACTAGATTCAAATTGCACCTATTGCTTGCCTGTCATAGCTCGATGCGCGTATGTAACATCTTGTTTTAAAAAATTAGATTTTCTTTAATTATGTGAATTTTATGTTTTTGTTTCCTGTGAGAACTGCAGCTTTTATCGCAACTCCTTAAAAACACATGTTTTAATTTTTAAGATAATTTGAGATAAAGGAGTTCTATTCGACGGCAAAAATGCCTAGGAAAATTATGACAGAAATTGAAAAAAGCCAAACGTACTAAATAGAGGGTGACAACACCTCATGCGTGGTTTACGATGAGATTAATCTAATCCAGAACACTATTTTTTTTAAGTAATCAGGATCACACAATCCTAGAACAAATACTAGAGGTAAGCCTACGGTTGGTCATTTTATGGTCTTTTGCCAGCTAAACCTTCGTCAACAAATCAACCAGTCAATTCGTTCAAGAAGAGAGGTAAGTGTAAAGTAGTATCTGCTTATGGGCGTAATTGTCGCGTCCGTTTAACACGTATGCCCGAACATGTGCCAGTACCCTGTAGATTATGTTACTCAAGTCCGACACTATTTTGCCTTTGTCTTTATTGCAGTTACTTTGTCTAAGGCTTTTTACGTAACATTCGAACGTAACTACTTGACTGAAAGACATTTTGCGCAGTATAGAAATCTACGCGTATTCCGTAAAATCAAATTTTCGTAGGTAACCCATCATACCTCAACGGACACTAGTGTCTACGAGAGGCTTAGAGAACAACTCAAGTAACGTGACATACTGAAAGGAAATAATCAGTTAACCTGTATAAAACAAAGAATTTCCAAGCCTTCAATGACGCCTCTCAATGAGAAAAAACACAGCCACTGAAGGTCCGAACGGTTTAATAAGCTGAATGTACTCGGAGGATTTAATAGCTGACTGAATGTGACAACAAATCTTTCATATATCTGTTGTTTTCATGGGTCTGATTTGCTGACATTACGAATAGATTAGTTTTTGCTAAGTATTGATCATGTTATATCACATATCCTTGAACTGCTAGGATAAACTTAGCAGATCTGGACCTAATATGGGTCAAGTGCGCGTGTAGCTATCGTACTTTACTGTTTATAGACGTAAAGCTTCATATAAAAGTGATTTTCTATAAGTCAAGTGTATAGCCTTAGTGGTCATCGAATACTCGTGTCATCTTTTCCTATACTGAACGTAACCTGATGCTTGAATCTCCTTGTTCTTTCTAACATAACATACGCTTTGTTATCGCATCAGCTACTGTAATTCGTAGGTAATGCAATGCCGTGAGCGGCATCGAACGGGCCTCTCTCTCCGTTCTGTTCTTCGGTGTTGTGTATTCAGGCGACCTACTTTAGTACAGCTTACCGTTGGCGGAATAACGAAACACATTTGACGCGCCATCTGAACACCTTGCAGCAGCAGCAGAAGGTGGACAAATTAGGTCCCGCTTTTTCTATTTCGTCCCTCTCTCTCTTTCTGTCTTTGTCCATTGTTAGTGATTAGCATGCGGGACATTATAAGGTCGTGCATGAGCCGCCCTGCTAGACCGGATGCGGAAAAACGTGTTTTTTGATGAGGCGATGAACAGGAAACGGGTCAACTTGAAGAATAGCCTGACGGCTTATTGGCGAGCGGTGGACGTCGTCCTGCTCCTGCCGCTTCTTCTCCTGCTTGAATACGCTCCCTCTCGCATAATCTCTCCTCACGTAGTCTATCGAATCGAAGACCAAACCCTTCTAGCTGCAATTTAGCTCAGTTCAACGGTCACTCGACGACCTATAGAGCGTACGACGGTTTTGGTTCGCGCTGTCCTGCTCATCTGCTGGTTCGCTGCCTATTCAGACGACCGGTCGTGCTCGAACGTCAGTAGCAACGGCCGTAGGAACGGCAATCGCAAGCAGCATACACAGATGCTCGGAGAGGAAGATCCTAGCTAAAATCGAGCGGTCGCGATGCGGCGGGCCTCCGCTGGCCAGCTCTCCATGCCCCTGAAGAACAAACTACCAACTGTATTGGAAGGTATTAGCGTTTGTTGTATCTTCGGTATGTTCGAAAATCACTCTAGCCCAGTCTAGCTCAATTCGAACCTTCGTGACCGCCACGGATACTGCTGACGCTTCCGGCGTGCTGCTGTCCGGATAACGAGTTGGGAAAGAGCATACCGATGACGTTGCTGTACTGCTGCTGCTGCTGCTGCTGCTGCCTCTGCACCTCACCCCCACCCCTTGCCGGCTAACGAACTAAGCCAGGCAGCAGAGTCCCCGAAGCAACGAAAAGAATGATGAAGCGAGGTTCGCTGTAGTAGTGCTGGTCACGGTGGCGGCCATTGGTAGTAGTGTCAATAGGGAAGCTTGGACCGGGGAAATTGGCAGGAAGGGAACGTTTAGGGCCCGGGGATGAATGGGTAACTGACGATCGCTGAGGGAGTGAGGGCAGCAATAAATGGACGAAACGGTTTTCTAGAACAATGCGTGCAAGGCTGAATGCCATCGGCACTAGCGGAAAGCGTTGTTTGCCGTCCGACAAATCAAGTGATCAATTATTCAGAATCATCGCGAACGCACAAGCTCGAAAGGGCCGACTGCCTGTCTGCCTGACAGTTATCCCTAGTCATAATCTTCGTCCGTGTGTTGTATTCTGTTTATCGCGGGGGTTGAGCGATTCCAGAATAGGGATGGGCCACGAAGCAGGCTGGGAATAGCAGAAGGTTTCTGGCTTCTGCGGTGGACAGGAAAGCGGATGCAGAAGCACAAATGGCAGCGTCTCGAACGAGCGGAGTTCGCCTCTTTCGTGTGAGTGAGTAGAGAGACCATAGTTGCTGCAATTAGAGAATGTGTGTCGGGGCTACGAACCGTATTCGGAGACCCCGAAGCAGGAGAACGGTAATAACAGCAGCAACGGCAGTAGAAGGACTAATAATATTATTAAGAACAATCATAATCATTACTACCACTCTTTTGGTTCGGATGATGTCGCGACTGTTGCACATGACCACCAACCCCGTTTTCTTTCCTAGAGGGCATTGCAATGCTATGAGTTTTGACTTGTAATAGTCTGTAGTAATGATAGTGATGACTTTTAGCAGTTCTCTGTTAGGGACTGCTTGAATGAACGATGCACTTCGTGAAAGCTGTTTTGGGAAGCACGAGAGGTCTGCGCCTACGGAGCATATTCTAAAAAGCGCACCAATTCTGACCTCAAGTTAGGATAGCGAAAAATCAAAGAAAAGAAAAAGAAGACATGAGACGATATGGATAGCATACATTATTTACGCACTTGACGATTTCGTAGCTTTGCTAGTAGACGCAAGCTATAACGTAGGAAACATTTTAAGTCTATCATTAATGAGACTCCAGCAGTAAAGCACATATTGCAGAGTCAAGATCTTGCTTCACTGAAGCATTTGCTTGCGTCGTACGGGAACTAAGTTACGTACGTCGCGCAGATACCACTAGCTAACATAACATTGCGCATCATCATACTTTATATATATAGAAAATTGACTAATATATAGAAAGGGCCATTTAAAGGTTGTCTGTACCTAGAAACGGGCTTTGAATTTCAATGTATTCAATATGAATCGATGTTTTTTCGTTCATATGAAAAATGCGCCTTACCTGAAGAGTGGTGTCAACCCATTGGTGAGCGAAGTAATGGGAAAATAGTCGCTCGTAGTGCTGGAACTATCTTTCAGCCGTCGTCAAAAGCTATGGCTAAACATAATATCTCCAAATTCATTAAGAATCAATATTGATAAGTACATTACTTATTATTTAGTCTGTCCCGATGAAACGAAACCGCTACATGCTTAACACAACGGGCATCTGTACGACATTTCATAACAATATACTAGTCAAATTAAAGCTTTCATGCCTATTGTTATCTAGGCCACCGTTGCTGATGCTGCTTTTCTAAAATAATGTCAACAAATAAACCCTTTGTCTGCTTAACTTTTTTCCTATTAAATAGTAAACGTGCCTTAGTAACCTTGTACGTGCACTAGTATTTTGTAGAAGAGTCGAATAATCAGCAGAGCCCGGGGCACACGAGTCACTTGGTCAGTCTTGATGGAGTCACTACGGCGCGTAGCATCGAGCGCGTTCCCTGGCCACCTATGTCCTGACTTTGTGACTATTCCATTTTTCGTCCTCTCCAGCTGTTTGTGGCCTCCTCGAAAGAAAGAAAAGTCAGCCCAGTAGAGATAACGTTCCATTTGATACGTTACTTGATTCGAACCGAATAAACGAATTGAAACAGCACCAACGAAAGAGAGCACAATAAGGAGGTCAGGTTTTTTCCCCTCTCTCTCTCTCTCTCTCTCTCTCTCTCTCTCTCTCTTACTCTCTCTCTCTCGTCGTTTTGGCCACAGCTTCAACCAGCGTAGACCATCGCTAGCGCACATCAACCGTTAGACCAGAACTTTACCGGTGACGATGTCCTCTGGCTCATTTCAGTTCCTTACCAGAATGAACGGCCCACATTCAGCTGCTATAGAGACAATAGGCTTTAGTACCTAGAAATCAAGGAACGATTGAATATGCTGGACATGTACCTAGACATAAGGGAACGACACATAGGACGGCGGCAATGAGTACCAATTGAGATTAGTCTGGACAGCTGATAGAAAGCAGCACCCGTATGATCTTATCCGCGTAATGTGCATGGCACCAAACTATACGTAAAGATTTGCCTACCATATGTAGGACACGACCACGACGATACAAATCAGTAGCTTAGAACTGTCGACGCATAGAACCAAATAGACAACCTTTTTGACCGTGATCGCTGTTAAGGTTAGCATTTCGCGAGCTGAGTCGGAGTGTGCACCATAGCTAATTATTGACCGATACTGTGAAGACGACAATCGTACTAATGTGCGATCACGCACTTGATTGTGTTTCACCGCTGTCGAGAC